TCGCCGCTGCTCTACCTATAGAGTGTAGCGGCAACGTTAAGACGGAGCCGAAGTATGAGGCGAGTCGTGATGAGGAGTCAGAGGTTACGGTGCGTGATACAAACGCGCCGCAGAAGGAGGTGAGTTATAGGGGAGTTAGGAGGCGGCCTTGGGGAAAGTATGCGGCGGAGATAAGAGATCCTAAGAGGAACGGCGCCAGAAATTGGCTCGGGACTTATGAGACGCCTGAGGATGCAGCTCTGGCTTATGACAGAGCCGCTTTTGAGATTCGAGGCTCGAAAGCTAAGCTCAATTTCCCTCATATGGTCGGCTCAAATAACTGGGAGCCGGTTAGAGTGGGCCATAGACGGCGCTCACCGGAGCCGTCACGTTCGCCGTCATCCAATGTGAAGAGCTGCTCCCCGGAGCGGAAGAGGAGAAAGTACGATGATGGCTTGTTGGCTAATGAAAGTTCAACAGGAGATTCCGGCTTGGATCATCTTACATTGGATCAATTAATGGTTAACTGCTTTCAAAATTATTGAAATTGATTTGGTGTTTTTTTTTTTTTTTTTCAAATCTTCAATATTCGTAAATCATATTAGATCTTCATTGATCTAAAGTTGAGCGCAATGTAAACATTATTAAAAAAAAATTTCAATACTTGTTTTCTAATTTATAAAATTTAAAATCAAATATTATTTAAGTGAAGTCAAACTCTTTTAATTTAGAGCACACTATGTTTATATGGTGTTTGGTAAGGGTGGAAATTAAGCACCCAAATTATCTGTTTATGTGTAATTTTTAATATTTGGACAATAGAAAAAGAAAACCTTCTTTTAATTTTTGGTTTGCTTTTTGCCGCTTGGAAGAGAAGAATTTTGTCCTAGTAGGGAAAAAACCCCTAACTTTGCCTTTCAACTTTCAACTTTTCGAATATAAGGGATTTTATCCCTCATTTTATAATTTATGAGTTTTTATCCTTTAATCTTTTAAATTTAAGATAAGGCAATATTTAATATCGCATGATCAAATGCAACGCATGACCATTAGTCCTCCGTTACTTATGCCATGTTAACACCACATGAGCACCCATATTACATATTAACACTACTAGCTTAAAAGACAAAAACTCATGTTTTACTCTTTACATTATCAACTTTGAGAGTTTTTGTCCCTCACCTTATAATGTATGAATTTCTGCCTTGCAACTTATCGATTTGAGCAAATGAGACAAAATTTAATGTTCAATGATCATATGCAACACATTGGCTTTAGAGCTTCACACAACAATATGTTAGCCACACATGGGATCATTGTTACATATTGGCAATGCCAACTTGGGTCCACATCTATTTTCAACGTGGGTTCAATGCATTCTTAGTTTTTTTAATAAAAAAATGTGAAACTACCATTCTTCTTCCTTTTAACCATTCTACCCCCATCATCTTCCAAACTTTCCATTTTGAACTCTCTCTCTAAATTAAACAAATTGATGGAAAATGAAAGCTAGAGATGAGGATGACTAAAGTAAGGGGGAGAAAATATGAATTAATTTATTTAATTGAAATTACTTAATTTAAAAATAATTTATTATTTGATAATAAAATTAATTAAGATTTATAATAATTATTTTAAAATAATATAATTTATTTAAATATAATGGCTCTCAT